TTATTGATTAGGAAAAATCGGGTCTGGTGATTCTGGTTCGGTATATCCAAAGTTCGGTATATCCAGGTTCGGTATAGACAGAGTCAACTGTATATACATGAATGAAAATGACTTGCGATAAGGTGAGGTGACATATTTCTCCTCACATCTCTGCCATTAATGCAGTTCGTCTCACAGTTAAATTAAAGTATCTACAGAAAAGTACAAGCTGCCGGTCTGCGCATCCGATATGGCGCAGCGAAAACTTAATTTATTAACTCTGCACTTGCCTTCCAACCCATAATAATATTTTGTGACATTTAATTAATTAAAAATAAATTTTTATAAAAGGTAATGAGATTGTATGTCGCTTCAAAATAATTATGTGTATTACGAGATTAAACTTGTATTGTTTTTTTCTGGTCAATTGTCGGATATTACAAAGTATGCGTTTTCTCGTTAGTAATGTAAAATTATCTCTTAATTGCAAACCAGATTTAACGAATTTTACTTAACTTTGTGGAAAACTTTGTTATTATGTCATCAGCATTCTAGCCATTAATATAACCTAGCCTCATTTTGAGGTTTAAAAAACCCAACATGTACGAAAAATAATGCCAGATAAAAAAAGTTTTTGTAAAATTTTTCTTATTGAGACAATGTTGGAGTCCTCTTATTATTACTTATTACTGTCTATAGTAAACCTGGATATACAAACCCGGATATATTGAACCAACTTATCAAGAACAATTTTCTATAAACAACAAATCTCTTTGATCAAGCCCAAATAAAAAGTTCCAAAACGATCACACAACATAACCAAGTTGGTTTAGATAAACATTATACTCGGACAACCTCTCCGGCCAGATATCAGTAAATGACTGTAGCCAATTCGGCGTAATTTGTATGAAGACTTAGTAACAGATAATCTAATTGATTATTTATTTTTATTTGGCTTAAGAGTCACACCGCTTACCAATAATTTGCTATTTAACTTAGCAATTTAGAAAACACGTTTTTTTTTTATTTAAACAGAATATTTGCACGTCATTATATTATGGACAATTTTGCTATCCCTTGAAAATTTAGTGAGAATGCGTTTTGTAACTTAACAAAATGTTCATATTATTCGATGGTTTAGAAAAAACTTTGTGAAAGTCAACGATTACTTACTTATAACCCATTCCTCCCCAAATCTCTTGCGCACCACAGTGTAACATTTGCTAGTATCAGCGCTACAGAACGGCAAGCTCTGTTAATTTTACACGCGTAATTTGATTGACAAGTCGGCTGGTAGATGTGTGTCGCATTACCTTAAGCTTAAACCCAATTACCATAAATTGTGAATATTGTATCCGAATAGGAGAATTGATTTTTTTTTCAACATGTCGAACGGTGGTTACTCACATTTGCGCCAATAGAACTGATGTATTCTGTAAATCAAACCATATTTTTACAACAACCACGTTTATTACGCTATTTAATATTCTCATCTTTTACTATATAAGAGTCATCATCACTAACGTTTTTAGAAACTCAAGCATATCCACAATTGTATGTTGATCGGTGTTTACTGACTGTATTTGTATTTTCTGCACTCATAGAACGAACTATTCGCTAACGTATTCAGTAACTCAAAGCACTTTTTCACAATATGACAGATCAAGCGATTTTATCAAAATTGTGTTTGTCTATAAATACAAAGACTATTACTAATGTATCCGTAACTCAAAGCATTCTGTCAAAATGATTCAGCTCAAAGCCTGGTTATGTAATTGTAAGGCTAGTTTAGTTGTTCAACGGCTTGATGTGCTTGTCGCAAAGCTGCTGTCATTTGCAACTTAAACTCATAATCGTCAATGCAGTAATGTTAATTAAATACATTGTTCTGTGCATCATAACGTGTCTATATGCAGTAACGTTAATATTATAATGTCTTTATAATGTTATGTACCTGATTGTCTTTGTGATTCCAATCTGACATATGTCTATTACGTGTAGATAATAGCATCATTTATCTAATCTACATATTATTCTATATTGGCATACAATATTTTCGAGAGATATTATCAAACGTGAAACTAGGCAGAGAAAAAAACCAGTATGTTGCGACAGACACAGACCAATATTTCAACCAATGAATAAAGTTATAATTATCCCGGGAATTTAATATGCACTCTCTAAATGCACGCATTCACACTTTCATTTCCGACGACATGTATTTAAGGAGAGTTCACTGTATTTGATATGACATATGAATTGTTACACAGAGAATATTTGACCGACGATGAGTGACTAATAAGTAATAGCATTCTGCATAAATTTGGCTTCCAACTTTGAATAGTACAAAATACTATTTAGGAAACTATTTTTTTATATAAAAATGACGGCATTGATAGCATGTTTGACTGTATCAACAGAAAAACTTACCAATTGCAACCACAAAACTATGAAACACCGAATTTTCTTTCTATTCTTTGCGTTGGTTACAACTTCAGGGATTAATGCCATTCCGCACGAATTAAGAAACGAGCTACCCAATTTTATCCATGCACTTATCTTGGCGAAGACGTACTAGTAGTACCTTCTCTCGACGTATCCGTGTCACCGAATCATATTGTTTCTGGCCAAGATGTTACTTTTGGTATTTCCGGAACCGCGACAACTGACATTACCGAGGCTACTGTTGGAATCTACATTTACGACAAAAATAACTTTCACCAGGAATATACAGCAATTTATGTAAACTCTATAACTCATGTCCCGTCAACAGAGGTACTAAGTTTGACTTCCCATTCATAATAAAGCCGTCGAAAAAATTG